TTTTCAAGACCTACCTTAAAACCCAGCACCTCTTTGCTTGACAACATGGGAAAATCTAAAGAAATCAGTCAAGACCTCAGAAAAAAACTGTGGACCTCCACAAGCCTGGTTCATTCTTGGGAGCAATGTCCAAGTACCTGAAGGTTCCATGTTCATCTGTACAGACAATACTACACAAGTATAAAGACCATGGAACAATGCAGCAATCGTACCGCTCAGGAAGGAGATGTGCTCTGTCTCCTAGAGATGAACATGGTTTGGTCCCAAGAGTACAAATCAATCCCAGAACAACAGCAAAGGACCTTGTGAAGGCACTGGAGGAAACAGGTACCAAAGTATCTATATCCACAGTAAAACGAGTCCTATTTCGACATAACCTGAAAGGCTGCTCAGTGGAGAAGAAGCCGCTGCTCCAAGATGCCATCGAAACGACAGACTACTGTCTGCAGCTGCACATGAGGACAAAGATCTGACTTTGTGGAGAAATGTCCTCTGGTCTGATGAAACAAAAACTGAACTGTTTGGCCATGATGACCCTTGTTATGTCTGGAGGAAAAAGAGGGACGCTCGCAAGTCGAAGAACACCATCCCAACTGTGAAGCACGGGGGTGGCAGCATCATGTTGAGGGGGTGCTTTGCTGCAGGACGAACTGGGGCACTTCACTAAATAGATGGCATCATGAGGAACAAAGGCTGAAGCAACATCTCAAGACATCAGCCAGGAAGTTAAAGCTTATTGTAGGTTATTGTGAGAAGCTTGTGGAAGGGATCCTGAAACGTTTGACCCAAGTTAACCAATTTAAAGGCAACGCTACCAAATACTAACCGAGTGTATGTAAACTTCTGACCCACTGGGAATGAGATGAAAGAAATAAAAGTTGAAATCAATCATTTTCTCTACTATTATTCTGACAATAGTGATCCTATATGACCTAAGACAGGGAATGTTTATAGGATTAAATGTCGGGAGTTGTGAAAAACTGAGTTTAAATGTATTTGGCTAAGGTGGATGTGAACATCTGACTTCAACTGTATCATGTTACCTGCTGTACTTCATCTGCTCCAGCAGCTGTGTGTAAAGTAGGCAGGAGTTGGACGGGATGGAGAGGGGGTTAGAGTGGAGACCCGGCACAGCCATGGAGCGCTGGCTGCCCCCCGACCCTGTTGTCAAGGAAACGATGGCCAGGAAGAGGATAACTAACGCTGCCCACTGAACCCAGGACAGGCGCCTCCTGGAGGAGAAGGGGAGAAACATAACATTAGGTTTAATCTGAGGCTGACACGAACCTCTCATGGTTTCAAATATGCAGAACTACACAGAGTTGTCCTGCACAGCTGTAATGACAAATTCCACTTTGAAGCTACTGAAAGGAATTTTTCAGTAAAAACCAAGTGAAAAGTTTGATAAAAATTGTGACAGAAAGTCGGCAGCATGAAAACACAAAATAAAACACACAAAACAGATGCACACTTAGCCCATCTCATGTAGAGTCAAACTCAAAGGCATGCACACTATGCCTCTGAAGAACTGAACATAACAGAGCTACTGACTGAACCACTTACTTCAGAACAATTCTGAAGAGTACAGCTGTAGTCAGGATGACAAAGTTGGAGAACAGCACCACCATGGCCTGGGGACAAGAACGAGGACAGGAAGTTAGAGATAAAGCAGCAGAGTGATAGCAGAACACAGCAAGTGGATCAAACACAGAGGATGTTCTGTAACAGCTGCTCTGATATGGGAAGATACAGAGCTGAAGTTAAGCAAGAACATTTCCTCCAAGAGCCAAAACCGTTTCCTCCTGGTAGTGATCCTATAGCATATTTAGGTCTTACAACTTTTTCTTAGACTTAGACCAGAAATTCTCTAAACTACTTTCTCCACATTATCCAGTAATTTCACATCGTTTTTAACAAACTGCAAATTCTTTGGCACATTCATGCAAATGACTCGGCACAGTTGTCTGCTGTTTCCTACATTATCGCTTATGTCATGTCAAAATGTATTATACGGCTGCGTGGTGGAAGGGTAGGGAGGCAACACAGGAGGGAGGGGAGAGGAGGCCAAGGACATAAGCATATTCCAGATGAAATAAGGGCCACACACATAGACCATGTTGTCAGTCATGGTCTTATTATGGCCGAGGCTGGCCAAAGGCAGCCGAATGTTGGGAGAACTATTCTGTCTAGGATGTGTTTCCCCTGTTTACATTTTCAAGAAACATTCTCACTGACTGGTTTGCAAATAACAAGGCTGATTAGAGAAATGAACCAAAATGACTGAGTGAGGGAAACTGTAACTTACAGGCTGCAGGTAGGTCAGCACATAGAAGACGATGAGGTTGTCAAGAAAGTAGAGGAAAGCGGGGATGGCCCACTTCAGTGAGCTGAGGAAGGAGGAGCTGGAGTAGCAGCCCAGCTCTCTGCATGATCGTCCCTCTGAGGAGGCAGACACACAGATGGCAAGTAAACACCCCGTGCCAACCAATACAAGAAGGCAGACAGCTATGGTTTTGATGTTTACCTCGGACTATGACCCTGACTGACATCACCAGACAGAAGACCAATTTGAGCACCTCAGCAAGGAGATTGACAGATGCAGGGAGGAAGTCATACTTGCTCTCTGGAAAAAAGACACCAGCAACAGGATGCCAATGCTCAAAACTGTATGCTTTAATATGTGTACTGGCTTGAAGAATGAAATATTTAATATCTCTGGGGAAAACATAAGAAATATTAGCCGTCTCAGTGACAGTCACTCACTTGCATTGGCTGACAGTTTGAGCAGCAGGATGCGACTGGTGCCCAGGGTTACAAAGCCCAGGCCGAGGGCTAGAGTGTAGGCCGACGAGCGGGAGCACAGTCTGGGGCAGAAACGGCAGCGCTTCATGGCTGGAGCTGGATGCTGTCAGACCTGGTCACACACATCAACAACACAGACACACAATACTGGAGCTCAGCATCATATGTAGCCGGAGAGAAACAGACTGGGGAATCTCTGAGGTGAGCACACACCTTCAATCAAAGACTGGCAGGGACAAAAAACACTGGAAAACGGGGTAAATATAATATCTGTTTTATTTTGATGGCTGCATTATATTTACAAGTGTGTAAAATATTGTGTCCTCCACTTTAATAAAAATGAGGCTTGACTAAATGACAGGAATAGCTCAAACAGTAATTGCATAAGACTGTATATGACGTCTTGCCTGTTAGTCCTGAAGATGACACCTTGTTTCTAGGCTAATGTGGGTTTTCATTGCTTTCTGGTGTTTTGTAGGTGCAACAATTAATCAGTTTATTAAGAAAAAATAAGACAGGTTCATCTGTAATTGAAATGATCTTTAGTTGAAGCCCTAGACTCATATACACAGAGTTGTCCTGCACAGCTCTAATGACGAGTTTCACTTTGAAGCTACTGAAAGGGATTTTTCAGGAAAACACTGCTGAAATTAAAAAGGCAAATGTATTATGTAAAAAGGTTACACAAAAAGCAAACAGCATGAAAATACAAAATAAGAAATATACACACACAACTAATTAAACACAGTACTATGCAACAGTTCAGGCACATCTGATCTGATCACTCCATGATTCATCCTGCCTGAACCCCCACCAGAGTCATAAAGAACCATGCTCAGAGGCCAGAGGAACCAGGAGTCCTTGCTCTTGCCCCCACACAGCCCTGATCTCAACATCATGAAGTCCATCTGGGATCACACTAAAGAGACAGGAGACACTGAGACAGCCCGAATCCACAGAACTGTGTCCGCTTCTCCATGACAGTACCTACCTGATCAGAATCTGAATCAGCTCTATTGGCCAGGTGTGTTGGACACACGAGGAATTTGACTCTGGTACATCGGCTCTCAATGTGCATGTACATATCCCCATGCAAGGCAACAGCAAGGGGCAAGTAAACAATATACCAACATAAGGCTGTGTAGTATAACAAAATAAACAGTGTAAACAAGCAATAAACAATGCAAACAATACGAAATAAACAGTATAACCAGGAAATAAACAAACGATTCGTGGCATTATTTCTGGAAGCATCCTCACTTTACTTTTAGTACCTAAAGCTGTTGCATAATGCTATAGAAACTCAAGTAAAAACGTCTTGGTCCCAGCTTTACTTGTAGCTTTAGAAATCATCTAACGTTCAATGTTGTAGTTACCACGGTAGTTACATGTTAGTCTGCCCACACGCAGAATTTAAGAAATGGTACGGTTTGGCTTGGTTATGATATATGGAAACAAACAAGCAGTGACGTGTGTACGCTGCGAGCTAACACTGTTTGTCGGGATATCTCTGAAAATACGCACCCCTAATAAAAGCAACATGCGAGTTCTTGTACATATTCGGACATGTGCTTCTGAACACATCGCCAGCGTGTCAAAATCAAGTATTATTAGAAAAACCTACTTTCTTTGCTCCTTTTTTAGCACGGCATTTATTCAACCATTGCTCTTCCTGTTTAGTCGACGTATCGTACACGTTGCGTGTTTACGTCATCATTCACCCACTGTACGTATTTGTGGTTATGTCTTGTTAAAGGAAGACGACAAAAAAATGCGTCAAGAATGATCAATTAAAATAAATAAACAATACGCTTTTAGTCTGGCCTTTGAATAAAAGTTTTATTTTTAAATGTTTTACATTTCATCAAGTCTTTTCCAACCGTTTTTACTACTATACAAATAGAATTTGATCCTACTTACAGGTATGTGCCAAAAAATTAGAATATCGAGGAAAAGTCCATTTATTTCAATAATTTGTTTCAAAAAGTGAAACTTGTATGTTATATTAGTTCACTGCACACAAAGTGAAATATTTCAAGCCTTTATTTGTTTCAATTTTGATGATTATGGATTAAAGACAAAAAAAACCCAAATCCAGTATTTCACAAAATTAGAATATCATGACAAAGTTCAACATTGTAGGCTCCCTGTGTCCCAATCTAGTCAGCTAATTAATGCAAAACACCTGCAAAGGTTTCCTCAGCCTTGAAATTGTCTCAGTCTGGATCGTACACGTTGCGTGTTTACGTCATCATTCACCCACTGTACGTATTTGTGGTTATGTCTTGTTAAAGGAAGACGACAAAAAAATGCGTCAAGAATGATCAATTAAAATAAATAAACAATACGCTTTTAGTCTGGCCTTTGAATAAAAGTTTTATTTTTAAATGTTTTACATTTCATCAAGTCTTTTCCAACTGTTTTTACTACTATACAAATAGAATTTGATCCTACTTAAAACTGGATGCACATTAGGCAACATAACAAGAGTAACTTCACCCGGACTATATTCAGTTCAGTTTAATTAATCTCTAGACACTTAATATAGTAAGGGCAAGACCTTACAATATGTTTGCTCCATACACTGATATCACTAATGATGTACAGTATATACAGTACACTGAGGTGACATAAATATTTATATCACATCACAGTGAAATATTGTGTTTCGCCAGAAAAATGAACATGGATGTAATATAAAAAATTTTTAAGGGTAATTTTCCTGGAACAGGCTGAGGTAAAAAAAAAAAATCTATATATCTATCTGTGTGTGTGTGTGTGTGTGTGTGTGTGTGTGTAATATTTAACACTCCTCTCCTCTCCCTGCAGAGCTCACAGGAACAAACACACCCCCTTAAGGATTTAGGGATGACTCACAGCATAACACATAAGGTTTCAATTTCAAGAGACACAGTTCATTGCCCTGGGACACAAAGTTTAAACCGGCGCATGTGTGTGTTGGTGTGTCAGTGACAGATAAAGCACAGCATAGAACTCTCTGTCAGATCACAGTTTCTTGACTTGCAGAACACATCGCTGTCACAGACATGAGGCTCTGTGCCTGGCCTATAGGTCAAGGTCTCCTGCCCGCCCTGGTTCTTCTGACTGTGCACCAGATCAAAGCCGAGCAGAACCAATCCACAGAGAGACACTACTACATTGCTGCTGTTGAGATAGACTGGAATTACTCTGACAATGACACACACGGGTAAGACACTGGCCAGAGGATCTGTGATATGTGCAGGTGTTTTTTAATTCATTATGACATCCCTAGCTAATTAATGTGTTCAGCCATATTTGACAATTGTATTGTTTTATATTTTATTTGTGTCATGATTTATTTGAATTTATTCTGCCTAAGCTTATCTAAGGTCTTTAATAGTTGTTTCTTCAGTTTTTTGTACAGTGACAAACAATCTGTCCTTGTTTGATTTCTTTAGCAGCCTCTTACTCATGTATGATAATGTCAGTGTTGCTATGACACACAATCACATATAAGTCAAACACAATGTGGTAGCAACACGTCAAAGAAAGCATGTGCCTTCATAAAGTCCACATCTTGTTGATTTGCTTTGTTTTTCCTATGTGCCCCTTTGTGTTTTCCCACCATTCTGCAGGTCTGCTACCACCTACAAGAAAGTGGTCTTTCGGGAGTACGAGAAAGACTTCAGACAGGCTAAGGCTCATCCGTCCTGGCTAGGTAAACGTTGTGGGGTTCACTGTGAACACAGTCTGTCTGGTTCTAATTACTACGAAACACTTTTCCTGTCTCTAAATTCACTTTCCACTCGGCTGTCTCCACAGGGAAAGCACAAAGCAACACTGATATTCTAGTCATTTACCAGAAAGTGATTGAACTATATGTATCTTTTTCTCAAGAAGCTTCCTAAAGTGAACTATGTAGTTTGGTAAGAAATTAAAATGTGTTCAACAGGTTCATTTACTTGTGTCAGCTGATTCATTTCAGTATGTAAATAATGTAACCCAAAATAATATAATATGTTTCATTGTGTACAAGAGGGGTGACAAATATAGAACACAATTATCAGACAGACATAACTAAACATTACTGAAACACAAGTTCTTCAGGCACTCAGGAGATATTAAAAGGCTTTATTTAGTTGGCTACATTGATTTAAATAAGCAGGATGCTCATGACAAAACTGAGCACCTGACCTCTGCATCTCACTATATTTAGCTGACACTAGGTTGTTTGTTCCTTTAATGTGCTCCATCTGTAGAATTACAGTTAATGAAGTATATAAACAGTAGATTTGTTATGAAGTTGAAAAGTTCACTGACTCTGTCACTTTACAAACTCATACATCTGCATGTATTACTGTATTATATGCTGTTTTCTCTCTCATTAGTATATTTTGCTTTCCAGGAATGTTCCTAAGACATATACACAATAATCCCCCTCTAGGAAAGTATTAGTAAACTAAGAAACAAAAAATAAACCATTACCAGAAAGGCTGTATCACTTACTGTATCACTTACATTGCATTGGTGTACTTTACAATAGACAAGACAACAACACTTTGATTATATTTGCTGGTCAATGACAGTCAGTGAATCAGCAACAATAACAAAAAAGGACAGTGATGAGTCATTATGGTCCAGCATGATGTTCATTCACCAAATGTAGTGGATTCCACATGTGTGTCTCTGCAGGTCTGCTGGGACCCACGCTGAGGGCAGAGGAGGGCGACACGATTGTCGTCACATTCAGAAACATGGCGAGTGGACCACACAGCATCCACCCACACGGCGTCGCTTACAGGAAACAGTCTGAGGGTGCGTGTCTGTTAACTCGGCAGCAGATAAGTCTGATAGCTGTGGAAACCCTGAGGACTAACCATGCGTCTGTTAGGGTTAATGTGGGTGTTAATGATATTACTCATTCTAATAAATACACAAGATTAGCGAGCACAACAGGCAAGCTTATCTAAGGTCTTTAATAGTTGTTTCTTCAGTTTTTTGTACAGTGACAAACAATCTGTCCTTGTTTGATTTCTTTAGCAGCCTCTTACTCATGTATGATAATGTCAGTGTTGCTATGACACACAATCACATATAAGTCAAACACAATGTGGTAGCAACACGTCAAAGAAAGCATGTGCCTTCATAAAGTCCACATCTTGTTGATTTGCTTTGTTTTTCCTATGTGCCCCTTTGTGTTTTCCCACCATTCTGCAGGTCTGCTACCACCTACAAGAAAGTGGTCTTTCGGGAGTACGAGAAAGACTTCAGACAGGCTAAGGCTCATCCGTCCTGGCTAGGTAAACGTTGTGGGGTTCACTGTGAACACAGTCTGTCTGGTTCTAATTACTACGAAACACTTTTCCTGTCTCTAAATTCACTTTCCACTCGGCTGTCTCCACAGGGAAAGCACAAAGCAACACTGATATTCTAGTCATTTACCAGAAAGTGATTGAACTATATGTATCTTTTTCTCAAGAAGCTTCCTAAAGTGAACTATGTAGTTTGGTAAGAAATTAAAATGTGTTCAACAGGTTCATTTACTTGTGTCAGCTGATTCATTTCAGTATGTAAATAATGTAACCCAAAATAATATAATATGTTTCATTGTGTACAAGAGGGGTGACAAATATAGAACACAATTATCAGACAGACATAACTAAACATTACTGAAACACAAGTTCTTCAGGCACTCAGGAGATATTAAAAGGCTTTATTTAGTTGGCTACATTGATTTAAATAAGCAGGATGCTCATGACAAAACTGAGCACCTGACCTCTGCATCTCACTATATTTAGCTGACACTAGGTTGTTTGTTCCTTTAATGTGCTCCATCTGTAGAATTACAGTTAATGAAGTATATAAACAGTAGATTTGTTATGAAGTTGAAAAGTTCACTGACTCTGTCACTTTACAAACTCATACATCTGCATGTATTACTGTATTATATGCTGTTTTCTCTCTCATTAGTATATTTTGCTTTCCAGGAATGTTCCTAAGACATATACACAATAATCCCCCTCTAGGAAAGTATTAGTAAACTAAGAAACAAAAAATAAACCATTACCAGAAAGGCTGTATCACTTACTGTATCACTTACATTGCATTGGTGTACTTTACAATAGACAAGACAACAACACTTTGATTATATTTGCTGGTCAATGACAGTCAGTGAATCAGCAACAATAACAAAAAAGGACAGTGATGAGTCATTATGGTCCAGCATGATGTTCATTCACCAAATGTAGTGGATTCCACATGTGTGTCTCTGCAGGTCTGCTGGGACCCACGCTGAGGGCAGAGGAGGGCGACACGATTGTCGTCACATTCAGAAACATGGCGAGTGGACCACACAGCATCCACCCACACGGCGTCGCTTACAGGAAACAGTCTGAGGGTGCGTGTCTGTTAACTCGGCAGCAGATAAGTCTGATAGCTGTGGAAACCCTGAGGACTAACCATGCGTCTGTTAGGGTTAATGTGGGTGTTAATGATATTACTCATTCTAATAAATACACAAGATTAGCGAGCACAACAGGCAAACAACTTTGTTTGTCTGTTTGCAAAATATTAACCAGGACAGGCAGATTATCAAAGCAGACAGTGCTGAAGTCCAGCAGGAAGCACTGCTAAGCCTTAGGAAATCATTGTCTGTGTCCTCACATAGAGAACATAGAGAACAGAAGAAGAACATTAGAGACATTGTGGGTTTTGGAAACTGACACTAAGTGAGCCTTAATTTGCACTTGCGGATACTTTGTGTAAAAGTCAGTGTGCAGAGGAAATTAAAAATTAAAGACCAGCTTGTAGGAAATTTCATTATGTCTTCATTATTCTGTGAACTAAAGAGGAAATGTCATAGTTAACAAAGTCACCAGCGTCGTCAGACCCCTGCTTGACAATGAAACTTCATTCATTTGGTTTCAACATGATCCTTTGTTCATCCATAATGCTGAGAATGTATGTTCATTTTTTTGCAGGAGCCAACTACTTTGACAACACATCAATGAAAGAGAAGGAGGATGACCTTGTGGAGCCGAACAGTGAACATGTTTACTACTGGGAGGTGACACCAAATGTTTCTCCACAACCCAACGACCCCACCTGTCTCACCTACACCTACATCTCCCACCAAAAAGTTGTTGAGGACTACAACTCAGGCCTCATTGGGACTTTGCTCATCTGCAAATCTGGTTAGTAGTAAAATCTGTTTCTCTTCATGGGCAAAGCAGAAAATATCAGTTACTGGATGTTCGTTCTCCGTCTGTCTGTCTGTCTCTGCAGGCAGCCTGGATAAGTCAGGGAAGCAGACTGGCTTCAACCAGGAGTATATATTCCTCTTTGGGGTTTTTGATGAGAAAGAGAGCAAGTACAAACCAACAGGCCATGCCTCAGACAACCATGTCAAATACACCATCAACGGATACACAAAGGGATCACTACCTGGTTAGTCAGTTAGTGACAGTCAGCCATTCACTCTGCCAGTTGATCAGTTAGTGATTTTCTAATTCCCTTTCAGCCTAGAAGGTTTAGTCAAGTTGAAAACAAACTGACGCCATCAGCCGCTCCTAACCACTCCATGGTGATTTAAACTATGGATGCCCGACTGGGGCAAACTGTACAAAATGCAGCTTCAAGTCTGACTAATAGTAAATGTGTCAAACACCTAAACCCATGTTAACCCTGGTTGTTGCTCTTTCTTGTTGTTTGCCTATTGTGTAAAGACGCCACCGCTTGACTCTGGCAGCCGCTGGTTCAGACCTTTAGCTGCGCAGAGCTCCTCAGTGGCTGTTTGACATAACTACTGGCTGGAAAAACCTTTCTTCTAACCTTGGCTAGGCGGCAGGCAGAGCTAATTTACAGACCATATTTTGACAGCACAGGGTGGAGAAGGTGGAATAACAACAGGAGGCTGTAGGCATGGAGGAAGGATTATTGCATTTATTTATTAAAATACTAGTAATCTTTGCTATAATAGTGCATCAGACCACCTCACTGCTCACTTAATCACTCCCTAGTTAATCCATCATAAATTTAATAAAGCCATGGTGCTTACATTTAAATGACTGCTCTTCCTTAACTTTACTTTGGAACATAGGAGCTGTAATGTATCAATTTGTTGTTCTGAATGATCTTTGTTCCACCATTGTTTCTTTGTACAGATGTATGGTTAGCCAATGTGCTGTACAGTCAGTGAAGAAACAGTCACCTGTTGTTCTGCATAAACAAAACAGCTGCAAAGTGACCAGAAATTTCCTCTTGTGTTCCCAGATGTCAGGATGTGTGCCTACACCTCTGTGAGCCTACACCTGGTAGGTATGAGCTCAGAGCCTGAGGTGTTCTCTGTGCATATGAATGCACAGGTTCTGCAGCAGACCGGCCATAAAGTGTCATCAGTGGGGCTGATCAGTGGCTCCTCCACCACAGCCAGTATAATGCCTCTCTATAAGGGCCGCTGGCTGCTCTCCTCACACATTCTCAAGCACATGGAGGGTGAGTGTGCCCTCAACTGATGAGATGCAAAAATCTGTCATCCACCACAGGCAAATAGTTTCTACCAGTTTAACTAAATTCAGTATTTCTGCTATGTCAGCTGGCATGCATGGTTTTGTGGATGTCATGAAGTGTGACGGCTTCGAAGCACCACAGCGACGGATGACTATTGAGCAAAAGAGACACAGTAGGGAGTGGAAATATTACATAGCTGCTGAGGAAATCATCTGGGACTACGCACCTAACATGCATGAGCACATTGACGAGTAAGCAGCATTACCAGTTAGGCATACAGTATGTGCAAACAACTGAGACATCCATCTGTGGCAAAATCATGTCTTTATCATTCAATAATAATAATCCTATGTCATTTTTCACAGTAATTTCACTGATATGCTCATTGTTGTGGTTTTAAACAGTCACATCATGTCTCAAAATTAAGTAAAACTTCTCGTCTTTTTTGTGTAGAGACTTCAGGTTCCAATACCTGCGACAGTCACCAACACGCATAGGTCACAAGTACAAGAAGGCCGTGTACACTCTGTACAAGAATGAGTCATTTACTGAAAGGCTGGAGAACAAGCAGAAAAAGAGTGAGCTGGGGATCCTGGGCCCCGTGATCAGAGCACAAATCAGAGACGTTATCAAGGTGAGATCAAATGCAAATTCAATCTGAACAAATTATAAGTCAATGTGTTTCACATAACACAGTTAATTACAGAGCATAAGCACAAAGAAAACAAGGATGCTTGTAATATATAATTTTCATAATGGAAATAAATGTATATGAGCCCACAAATAATACATTCCCATTAAAGAGGTTGTCAACAATGAAGCTTTAAACTTGGCAGCGTTATTTTTACAGAGGAACAATCTCAAGCAGAGTCTTTGTAGCTGGAGAGACCAAACTGGTAGCAAAACTTTCTTTAAATCACCTGCTACTGCTTGTAAAGCTTAAATGTTGTGAGAGCATGGTAAACTGTAAGGAGGACAAAACTCGGTAGGAGGTTATGCACGGTTTTGAGGCCATACTCCAGCACAGTGAAATTTAATTCAAGTGCTGCCTTAAACTTAAGGACCTCACATGCATGTTAAACAGTGCCCCAGTTTGATGCTGGACAAAGACAGACAAGTAAACTAACAGGTGTGTTCAGACTGTAAATGATTTGCAAATCCATGCTGAACATTTAAGCTTGTGTTTACATTAAATTCAATAACTATCCTAAATGTGGGGAACAAAAGTGGCTCCAGCTCCTACAGTGTCGATCTGCTGTAGATAATAACACTATCAAATTAAAGCTGAGCGTCGCCTCATAATCAGTGCAGTACAGTATGTTTATAGAGCCAACACATAAGTCAAAACTCCCATGCTCTCATAAGCAGAGACTGTTTAATCATTGAACATTGTTTACAGAGCATGTGCCCTCACAGCCTGTGCCCTGTTACAGATTGTTTTCAAGAACATGGCCTCCAGGCCCTACAGTATCTATCCACATGGTCTGAACATAGAGAAGTCAGACGAGGGCGTCAACTACCCAGAAGGAGGTAAGTAGTTTCTCTTCACTGTAAACCAAGTTAAAACGAGCTGTAAAACAGCTACATTGTTATGAATGTTTCTCAATCTGGCTGCCAGGCAATCAGTCTCACGGTGTTCAGCCAGGTGAGACATACACCTATGTGTGGAAAGTGGTCGAAGAGAATGAGCCTTTAGACGACGACCCCCGATGTCTGACACGAATGTACCATAGTGCAGTGGACACACCCCGTGACATTGCCTCAGGACTGATTGGACCACTCCTCATCTGCAAGAGTCAGTCCCTCAATGTCCGCAACGTGCAGGTAAAACACAGACATGGCTCTATAGACAGCAGCGTCTGTCTGGCCCACTCTGGTCCACACTGAAGAATGTCAAGACCTACTGTGTCTGAGGGATTTCCATGAAGTTTGAGCAGTCATTCATGGTTCACGGAGGATGGATCCTACTGACTTTGGTCATACCATGACTTTTCATTTGGCACCACAGTTAGGTTAAAATATTTGGTTTGGTGTGAAATGCCTCAAAATTCTATTGAGTGGGTTGCCAGGAAATTTGGTTCAGACATTTATTACTATTATTTTAATTACCAAATACCTGCAAAACTAATGACATCCCAGAAAGCTGTGTTTTGTGTTTAGTCCTAGTTAGTAAGTAAAGTTAGCAAACATTTATTTATGTAGAACATTTCTAAACCAAAGTTAAAAGGTGCTGACATAAAAAAATTGAATAACAATTAGATGAAAACAATATAAACAGGACAGAAAAAACAAAAAACAAAAAGAGAGACACATAGTAATTAGTAAATGTTAGCATGCTAACACGCCAAACCAAGGTGGTGAACATCCATCCATCCATTATCTATAACACTCCTGAATAGGGTCCCAATCTCAGCTGACACTGGGTGAAAGGTGGGGTCCACCCTGGAAGGAAAACGTTTTAAAGTGTGGAAAATCACAGTTAGGAGGTGGGCGCCAGACTAGCAAGGGCCAACTGGAGACCCAGTTTTTGAAAACATAGTGCTCCAGAGCTGAGACCCCGACTCACCCCAGACATGTTGTCCAATCAGAGGGGGTCTCCAGTCGGCCCTTGTTAGTCCGTATCCTGCCTCCTAACTTTGGTTTTCCACACTTTGAGACTTTTTCCTTCCCAGTCTATCATGGGGCTGACACTCAGAGAGAAACAGCCACACACACTCACACTCACTCCTAGGGGCAATTTAGAGTTGCCAGTCAACCCAAGCTGCATGTCTTTGGACTGTGGGAAGAAGCCGGAGCACCCGGAGAGAACCCACGCAGGCACAGGGAGAACATGCAGACTTGGCACAGAAAGGCACAGGAACCAGGATCCTTCTTGCTGTAACGTGACGGCGCTAACCACTGCACTGTCATATTATTGTCACTGTGCACATGTTAGCATGCTGTGCCCAAGTACAACCACAGAGCCACTAACTTGGCTCAGGTTAACATATAAAGCTACCGTTTATTTTGTGGTGATGAAAACTGTTGTGTTGTGTGACAGGAGAAAAACTTTTTGCAAGACCATAATTTAAAAGTCACTTAACTAGAAGAGGTCAAGAATCTTTATTGTCATTATGCATAGCACAATGAAAAATTTTTCCGGCAGCTCTCGGCTTAAAAGACAGACATATTATTTACATAACACACAATTGTATAAGTCAGTATAAAAATACGACTACACTGAGTCTGTATGACACTTATTAAGCCATGCCACGTGTTGAATTATTACTAGTCTAATTCCTATGTTGAAAAGGAAAAGTGAACATCAAAGTCAAAATGCAATCAATTAAAAATATTCTATGAATATGATGTAGCTTTTTGCTTGTGTCTCCAGCTGAAAGCAGACAAGGAGCAACACGCCGTGTTTGCTGTGTTCGATGAAAACAAGAGCTGGTACCTGGATTATAACATTCGCCAGTACTGTGATCGATCCAAAGTCAACAAGGCAGACCCAGACTTTTACAAGTCCAATGTCATGCACAGTAAGTTCTGCCTTAATCAGACTGTAGCAAAAATGAGCTCATCCTAATACATACGACACATTCATTCCATTATTTGTTCGTACCTTCGGCTGCCTGTCAGATGAATTATGTTCATGTCCTTACAGCAATTAATGGATATGCGTTTGAGAGCGGCCCACTTCTGGGCTTCTGCAATGGTGAAGCTGTGACATGGCACGTGTCAAGCATCGGGGAACAGGACTACATCCAGACAGCTACATTTTATGGTCATACATTTGAGCTGAACGAGCGGACAGAGGACTTCCTCAGCCTGTACCCGATGACCGGAGAAACCATCACTATGGTCATGAGCAACATTGGTCAGTCAGGGCTTACAGTGACTTTATTCAATCTGCAAGGATACTTTTAACTTGCTATTCTGACAACACAAAGTCAAAATCCTATGTATAAGTGATATTAAGTGCAAGTTCATAGAGACTCCAGTTATTTAATGCAGAAATTCTTGTACCTAAAAGCGACAGCTAGTTAGTTTTTGATTGGATGATTGATTGATTGATATGGATGATTTTTGTGTCTCCTGAACCAGGTGTCTGGCTCCTGGCTTCCCTGACTTCTCATGAGACAACCAAAGGAATGCGCGTTAAGTTTCAGGATGTCGAGTGCTATCGCGACTACCAGTATGAGTACAGTGACTATGAAAATGCAGCAGCAAACAAGGAATTTACTGAGTGGAAGCCTCCAGCCCTGCCTGATATCATCATGGAGGAGAAGGAGCCACAGTCTGCGAAAGAAAACACATTGGAAATAGATGATTACACCGAAAAGATTGCAATTGAGGTCGGTTTCAGGACACTGAAGGACCAAGCTACTGGCTCAGATGCAGAGCAGCTGGACCTCTCTTTCCTCAACTATGATCCTATTGATGTGCCTGATGGAGATATGAATATCACCCTTAACTTCACTAAGACAAAAAGTCAAAATAAGACCTCTATTTCAAACCTTAACAAGCTGAATGAGGCATTATTTTCAAATTTGAAAGAAGCTGAGGGAGTAAAATTCCCCGTGGTTAATTTGTTAAACCAAAGCATCACTGATAATACAGCACACATAAAGAACAGTAGTGCTGCATCAATAACGGACTATTCTTCTGTTTATAAAACAGAAAACACAACTGTTTTTAATGTATTACTAAAGAATGACAGTATAACCACAAACAGCAAAGCTACTGAAGCAGTCGACCATCCGCATGATGTTGCACTGTCTGACACAAAGAACACAACAGTTCACAATGCCACAGCATTATCAGTGGTTGGACATGTATCTGCAGACACTAGCAATCTTACAGTAACAACACTAGAAACTACTAATCTTACCGCAACATTACCTGGAAATATAAGCTCCACCTTGGAGGCTGAACGACAGAGTGTACCACTGATTAGTGATAACCAGAGTTCTGTGGGTTCCATGTTAGCAGAGGACTCGGAGGAAAGATTCACCGGAGGGCATGTGTTCTATGTCCCTGTATCTAATTCCAGCACCAACAGTCTCCACAGTACACAATGGGCCAATGTGTCTGTTTCCACTCTGCCACAAAGGGAAGACGAAAATAACACAGCAACTAACCAGGCTAACGTGTCTACAGATGCAACAGACCATTCATTTTCTACTCCAGCAGCTGATATTAGAGACGTTAACACCAGCAGCACAGACACACACAACTTAACCATCTCTGAGCTGGAGATCACAGGCAACAAAACCAAAGGCAGTGACTCTCTGATGGCTGTAGCCGAGCAGGAGAATGGGCTGCAAGTGGATCCCTCTCAGAGTCTGACTAATCTAGCCGGTTCCAGGTGTGAAAGTGTAACACATGTTTTGCTTGAGCCCTTACACAATGTCACAGTGAATACATCCAGATCAGAGTTATCAGGAGAGAGTAGTTCTGAGAGTAGGGAGAATGTCACAGCTCTTCTTGTCAAGTTGAACCACACATTTTCCATGGAACGTTCCACCCATGAATCTAAGGCTTTAGGTAATGTGTCCCTCTCCAGCGGTGGTGTAAAGAGCAGCAGCTCTGAGGAGCTCAGCACTTCAGACAGTAGTGAAGAAGTGTTTATCTACCTTAAAGAGAATAATACAGAGGCCATTAAAACCACCTCTGTCAAAATGCAGGGCCACAACTGGACTTATGTGGGAGTCCACCAGAAGGTGCCCATGGAGATTCCTGACCACATGAAGAAATATTTTGAGAAAGAGACCCCAACACCAACTCCAAAGAAGGTCAAGACGGTGACCCTCCGACAGTGGCCCGAGAAGGGCCAGGGCATGAAGACAAAGAGGAAGAAGAAGTACAAGCCTCAGGCCAGGAGTGGTTTGCCATTTTCACCTCGCGGATTCAATCCAGGCATGACCCTGCATGGGTCACGACCCAGTGTGCCAAAACCAGTCTCTGATGAGGAGCAGCTCATTAATATGCCCATAGTCATCGGTGTGCCTCGGCCCGACTTTAGCAACTATGAGCTTTATGTTCCTGGGGCCAAACCACAGCATCTAGGCCTGGACGAGCCAGATATGAAAGCAGATGAATATGAGTATGTGGCCTACAAAGACCCCTACATTGGCCATGAGGACATCAAGCATCTCAGCCTGGATGAGACCACCAAACACTACTTAAAATTCTCAAGCCCGAATCTAAAGACTTATTTCATAGCTGCAAAGGAGGTTGAGTGGAACTACAGTGGCTACAAAGATGGGTAAGCTCAGAGGCTGCAGGAAGAAATGTCATTTAAAAAAGCTGTACAGATTTACTGGAAAACTACAGCAAGTACACATCCACATAAAATACATATGCTAAAATAAGGTTCCGGTATCACCACAGGAGGCAAGATAAGAAACTCAGCAGGGAAACCACGTTCACCAAGGTGGTGTTCCGGGCTTACATGGACAGTAGCTTCAGCACGCCCGACATCCGTGGAGAGATCGGTGAGCATTTAGGCATCCTGGGACCCATGATCAAGGTGGAGGTCGGACAAAGCATCATGGTAAGGCTGCCTGCATCAGCTGTGAAGCCATAATATGGATGGGTTTTTTCTGTCACTGGCATAATTTATGCATATGTTAAAACGGTAGCATTTATAGTACACCTACATGTTCTTTATGTAAACTCTGCATTAAAGGAATAGTTTGAGTTTATGATAAGCTAACTAGCTGTTTGTGGTACCTTCTTATTTACTGTACAGACATGACAGTTTGTCTTGTCAGCAAACTCTCAGCAAGACAGTTAATCCGTCTATTTTCCAAAATGTCTAATTGTCCTTTGAAGCCATAAGTTCCAACCCACAGAAAGTGTCTTCCACTCTGCCAGGTGGTGTTCAGGAACAACGCCAACCGTCCCTACTCCATACATCCAAATGGGGTTTCCTATACCAAGCAGACAGAGGGCCTCTCCTATGAGGACGGCTCCAAGTACTGGTATAAATATGACAATGAGGTTCAACCCAACACCACCTTCACATATTTATGGAGGGTCCACTCAATGGTTGGGCCACAGCCGGATGAGTCCGACTGTCGGACCTGGGCGTACTACTCAGGAGTTAATCCTGTGAGTACTTTGGACCTTTTAGAGAACAATGAACTAAATCCAAGTCTACTGTGGCGGGCACTGAAGAATTACTACTTACAGATACACATTAAAGCCACTGCATCTAGAATTTGAGTTTCTTACTGTGGGGCCCCCAAATAGCAGCATCATTATGGGGGCTGCAACTTAGTTTGTAGCTAGATGTCCCATAGGCACTGCATTGGTTGACTAAGTGTGTCATTCTTTAATTGTATGTGTCCATGAAAAGACAAACAAAAACCCAACAACCCTGTGGGACACAGATAGGCTGATGGTAAAACACAGTGAACCATTTCTCACCAAGCTGGTGTCGTTTTCTTTACAAATTTGTGTCATCTGAATAATTTGACAGATTTCAAATCATATACAAACTCTATGCGTAGGACCTTTAAATTAAGATTAAATTGAATGAAACACATTAAACTATATGTTTGATTAAGCAAAATGAAATGTATTCACATTGTTAAAACTAATATTAAACCTGGCATATGCTCCATCTCTTAGGAAAGGGACATCCACTCTGGCCTGATCGGGCCTTTGCTGGTGTGTAAAGAGGGCACCCTGGACAGACCAATAAAAGACACGAGGGACTTCACGCTGCTTTTCATGACCTTTGATGAATCGCAGAGCTGGTACTATGAGAAGAACCGTGAGACAATGGAGAGGAAGAACCGAAGGAGCGTTATGGACCGCAACTTCAAGGAGAACCTCAAGTTCCATTGTAATGCATTATACCTACCTTCAACTAGTCTGGTTTAAATGATCAACTGCCCAAAATCTTTTGAGAATAATAATCACTAATTATAATCCATGCTAATTCAAACGCACTGTGCATGTACAGCCACTGTTCTTACTGTAAACAGCATTCAGTGAGTTGTAATATCTCTTCTTCTTTCATGTATTCAAGACAGAACATCACAGTCAACAGACCAAAAGTGTTGATAAAAATGTCTTCACATTGTTTCCTTAGCCATCAATGGCATTATATACAACCTGAGGGGCCTGAGAATGTACACCAACCAGCTCATGTCCTGGCATTTGATCAACATGGGCTCCCCCAAAGACTTTCACAGCGTCCACTTTCACGGGCAGACGTTCCTCCAGTGTCCTGGCATCTAATCAACATGGGCTCCCCCAAAGATTTTCACAGCATCCACTTTCACGGGCAGACGTTCCTCCAGATGAAGACCACCAGCTACAGACAGGCTGTCTACCCACTGCTGCCTGGTTAGCATGGTGACGTTTGTTTGTCATGTGAAGTCAGAATTAGCTGCATTTGTGCTATTGAAGTCATGCCACAGTACCGTATATGAATTGATGATACCTCACAACACCTATGCAGAGAGAAGCTACTGGCTATATTTGTTGTCATCAATGGCACTGTACCACATTGTCTGTGCAGGGGGATTTGCTACTCTGGAAATGTATCCATCCAAACCCGGCCTGTGGCAGCTGGAGACAGAAGTTGGTTTCAACCAAGAGAAGGGCATGCAGACCCTCTTCCTGGTTGTAGATAATGGTAGAAACTGTTAAAATTACTGCAGCATTTAGAATATGATTTTCTAACTACACTGACATACTGTTGTGTTGTGCTTGTGTGTGCCCTCTAAGACTGCTACCATCCGCTGGGTCTGGTTTCAGGCAACGTGCGGGATGACCAGATCACAGCAATCAACACGAGAAGTAGTTACACCTGCTCTTCATGTCTGCATCTATTTGTTTTGGCAATACATACACTGTACTGCCACCACAGTCTCAGTGACTTGTAAAATTGTTGAGGTAAAGCTCTAAAAACAAAACTGTCACAAGAGGAATGATAACATCTCCATGTTTGAAGGATACTGGGAGCCCCATCTGGCCAGACTGGACAACAAGGGTAAATACAACGCATGGAGCACAGAGCAGAACAACAGTTGGATTCAGGTTGGTGATGTAGGTGTAGGTGGATTTGCATATGTGCACTTGCTTTCTACACGAATACATCTGCTACCTGTGGACTTGTGCAGGTGGACTTCCAGAGATCAGTGGTGATCAGCCAGGTGGCCACACAGGGGGCCAAGCAGATGTTACAGCCCCAGTATGTGGTCAAGTACTCGATCTCTTACAGCACAGACCGCCGGAAGTGGATTTTCTATAAGGGCGACAGCAGGGAGTTCAGAAAGGTGAGGGAAATTCACCCACCTCCTTAATCACTGTAAATAGAGAGAAGTGATCACCTGTTCATTTCTCTTTGTCTGGCTCCCTCTTTTACCAGGCATTCGCTGGGAACCAGGAAGCCTATGAGACAAAGAAAAACACCTTCTTTCCTCCTTTGATTGGACGCTTCATAAGGCTCCACCCTATCGAGTGGTACAATAAGGCCACAGTCCGCATGGAGTTCTACGGCTGTGAGCTCGATGGTAAGTTGTTACTGTGCATGTGCATGGATGTGGAAAAGCCAAAACGCAAGTAAAATAAGATTTTCAAATATTTTCATGTCTTGATGTAGCCCATGCCTATTCCATCCATCATTTTTAGTTCTCCAATATGCAAAATATTCAAAATCCACTGTCATACTGGTCTGTGGTTTTTCAGCGCGGAGCGGCAAAACTTACTCATGGTCACCATTTATTTAATACATTCTAGATTTAGTACAGTGTTCACTAATTACAGAACTTTGCCCTTTATTTGTACTGTGTAATTTCTGGATAAACAATGATCTTGCCCTGCAAAAAGTAAAATGCAGTATTTGGTCAAACAGTACACTAAAATGTACTATCTATACTGTAGCTGCTGTATACTGCTGTTTGCTGTCTGTTAATGGAAAATATCACTTTTGATGAAATGACATTTTGGTTCCTCTGTGGCTGCATCTCGGTTTTCATCTAAGGTTTCACAATATTTGCTGAGCACATCCTTTGTGTGGTCAGATCAGGTGTCAAACTCCATTAAATCTGACTATAGCTGGGGCTGTGACCATTTTTTAAACATTTAATATGAAATAATTTCTCCTAGTTTGCAAATTCTTTCTCCAAATGACACCAGATTCCATGTACACATGCAGTATGTACTTCAGCACTGCAGTAGAGTTGGGTTTCTTGTACATGTGATATACTACTCTGCTGCCTCAGGCTGCTCGGTCCCTCTGGGGATGGAGAGTGGACTGATAGAAGACCACCAAATCACTGCCAGCTCCTCGGCCTCCAGCTGGTATGGGGGCCCTTGGAAGCCCCACCTCGCACGCCTCAACAAACAGGGCACCATCAACGCGTGGCAAGCTAAGGTGCTCATTGTAATTCTGACATGATAGGTCACAATGAATCCATTCAAATTTATGTCCAGGATCAGGCTGAACACACAGAATGTCAGTGACCTGCTGGCAGTGTACACACTCACAAACTCCTTCAGTAGGAGGTCACACCAACCGCCAGGTCAAAGCATCTCTCTCTCCCACAGTACTGTGACATGAGCCAGTGGCTTCAGGTGGAGCTGCCCAAGAAAAAGAAGATCACAGGCATCATAACACAGGGAGCCAAAGCTCTGCAGAAGGAGATGTATGTCATGACCTACGTCCTGCAGTACAGTGACAATGGGATACAATGGAACAAGTACACAGATACAGATGATGAGGTCCCCCTATTCAAGGTGAGCTGCAGCAAAACCACACAGAAACTGTAATGACCAAACCAGATGAGTAGCTGGAGTTTTCTTCAACAGTACTAGAGAAAACAACCTCTTTCTCTCTCTCTCTCTCTCGCTCTCTCTCTCACTCTCTCTCTCTCTCTCATCAAACCCAGATGAGAAATTTTTCTGGAAATAAACATCACAATGACTATGTGAGGAACTACATCCACCCTCCCATTTTCTCCCGCTTCATCCGAATCATCCCCACAAGCTGGATGACCTCCATCACCTTGAGATTAGAGCTACTGGGGTGTGACTTTGAGTGACACACACTCTGGGCATGTCAGGTCACCCATGCTTATCTACATGCAAACAAAAACACAACTCACATAATGTGTCTGCCCAGATAGATGCACGTCATTTGAACACATGCAGTCATGTACAGAGTATGCTACATGCATAAATATGATAGACCGCAGTACAGTGTTTGGGTGCATTAGTGCATTTGTTAAACTGATCACTGCTGTTACATAAACCAGGATGGGTCCGCTGGGAAACTCTAGTTTGCCATGTATGGGTGTTGGAATTAAGTAGGTTGCAAAAAAGTAATATGGCCTTTTACAAATTAATGTCGTGCAAAATGATACATTATACACATAGTTTTAGGAATTTTTAATGTACAGTATTTGTGAGGCCCATGGGGACGGGCACTGCAAATTAACTTAGAATATAAACTCTGTGGTTTATAACATTGGTTCATAGGAGATACTTGTCGATAAATAAACATTAAAAAAATAAAAAATAAAGACATAATTATGTGGGGCAGCTGTGGCTCAGGAGATAGACCGGTCATCCCCTAACTTGACGGCTGGCAGATTGATTCCTGTTCTCCCCAGTCCACATGTTAAAGTGGCCTTTAGCAAAACACTGAACCCCAAGTTGCTCCCTATGGCCAGGACAGTGTGTATGTGTGTGAGCTGGTGCTGCAGATGGCTGCCTCGGTTCTGTACCAGAGACAGATTCCTTGTGTGTGTAAATTAATTGGCCAATAAAAGTGGTTATCATTATCATGTGTATGAACTCTCAGCTGTTTTGTCAAAACTTTCATCACTTCACTAGTTGCACTTTTTAGCTGACATAGTATATTGTCCATCATAAATAGATAGATCAAATGTAAATAAGCAGAGATCATTGAATTTATTTTTCAATAAATGAGTACCATTCTCTACTGCTCTGTCCAGCTCATTGGTGTGTGAGTATGTGAATGACTGGATGTTGTTTGCTAACCCAGCTTTGTGAACACAGATACCTTCTCATGGCTCCTAAAGGTGTCACTTTCAGCACCTCTGCTGAGGCCAGGCCAACACAGCACCTATGGGCTTCCAGAGTCAACAAACACGTGCAGCTGCAAGCACACAGCATGTTGATCCATTTGCTGATGGTGTTAAACTGGGCACTGGAGGTGTGAAAGCCGCCACATGGATGTCCTGCAATGCTATTGGCCTGTGAAGACAAAATAAACCCACAGACTGCTTTAGTGACCATCTAACAGGGACTGATGAGAACTGGGTCAAGTGTTTATTGTCATATGCACAGTGAGGAAACGCGTTTCCCTGAACAATAAATTCTTACTTTGCCGTCCACACAAATGCCACACATTATAAGTGAAATATAACGCAGATACATAGGTAACACAAAATCTAAATCTCAAAATCTAAGGCACTGTAAAACAGCCAATGAAAGAAGCATAATGAAAAATGCAACAAGAACACAATAAGGAGGGAATATATGCTACATGGGAGCTGTGTGTGCAAATACTCAGCAGTGAGTGTGCAATTGTGCATGTGCAAAATGAGTATGTAAACAGTACAGATGGAATTACATGAGGTAGATCCTGAGTCAGCTGTTTAGGAGTCTGATGGCAGAGGGAAGGAAAAAGTTTTTCAGTACAGAAGTCCTGCATCTCACACTTCTGAACCTCCGGTCAGAGGGTAAGGAGGTGAACAGTCTGTGCTGGGGGTGGGTTGTGGTCCTTGGGGATGGAGGCAGCTTTCCTACGCACCCTACGGTGGTAAATGCTCTGCAGAGAGGGCAGTGGAGTCCTGGTGATCTTCTTCGCAGTCCAGATGGTCGTCTCTGTGTTATCTGACTGTGGAAATTGTTGGGAAATCCTCTTGTTGCAGATGCCAGAGCTGGTTAGAAGTTTAGTGACTTATTCACCTGCAAAATTAACATAAAATGTTGTGTATGAGTTTACATATTGCACAAGGCCTAAACAGTGGAGGTGAAGCTACTATAAAAGTGCCAGTGAACGACAGTGGGCAACGTCCATCTTAGAACAGCAACAGCTCTGCACTTTCTGCACAAGTTCTGCAGTTAAGTTTCAACAACAATACAAGTGGAAGTGTCTTCATCAAGATGAAGGTTGTCTCCACATGGAGACCAGCCAGCTAAACAATCAACACCAAGCAGATACACAGGTAGCTTATCAGGGAGGACCTTGGGCAGTTGTGTCACAAAATCACCTGCAATTTAAATTACTGCTAACAACAAGACCTTCTAAGGTGTCATTACTCAGCATTCAAGCTTCAGAACAATTTAAATTATTGTCATTACTCAGCATTCAAGCTTCAGAAGACTTAATTAAACAAAAGGCAAATGCTATGCTACCACCCCAGAGAAGTCCCCAGCTGACTGTATTGGTACAACAGGAGTGGTGCTTCCACCTCTACAACTTAGCAAGGCCCTGTTGGAAAAGGAAAAGCACACTGTAAGTGTGTGCTTTTAGCCAAACTAGTACATGAAAAATCACAGTTCACCTATTGTGCAGTTAACCGCTCCAGAGATACAGCTTGCTGATTCCAGTTAGAATCAGGCTCCAGAGAAAAGGCGTCTTCACAGTTGTTTACTTGACTTACATTTGTGCCTTTAGTTGTCGTGTTCACTCCTGTCATTTGCTGTTTGTCCACATGGAGGCGCTGCTGGGCTTTCCAACACCTTTCCACTGTCTCTCACCACACATCAAGACTGTGTGATAGGGTCAAAAGCTAGAAACAAGCAAGATGAGTGAAGCTAGAGCTGAAGGTGTTCTGTTAACATTTTGGAAAACCCAGCCCTCCACACCGACTCAAAGGTTGAAAACATGAGGTGCATTTGAGACACTGCACTGCCAGATGTCAGTGCAAGTCCACCTCTGCTGAATATCTGGCCCAGACTACACAGTTTCATGCAATGTTTGGTTTGATAGACATCTACCTGACAAGATCAGTGCAGATGAAACTAAACCATGTGAATCTGTCTGTGCAGCTCTGAGTGTGAAAAACATGCCACGGAACTGGAACTGTGTACTTCAAATATCAAATATACTGACAGTAACTTGAATGAGTCATTTATTAGGCAGAAAAATAGTCCTTCACTGGCACAACTATACAACAGAGTAAGAGAAAAGAAGTAGTCTTGTTCTTTTCTTTTGTCTCTCCTCTATCCACTCACCCCAACTGGTCGAGGCAGAAGGCCGCCCACCAGTATGGTAGGCTATATTATTATAGAGTTTCACTACTGCATACACATTAACATGCATTGAATTTTAATGTTGTAGCTGTTCAGTCATTTCCAGTTTAATGTCTTGCTAGATAAAGTAGCATACGGGTTATAATCATCTAAGTAAAGTTGAACTACTTCAGCTTGTAATTTAAGTACTATATATGTTATATAACATAGGGCCTGTGTAACAAATAGGCCCTATAGGCTATCTAATGTGTAAATCACATAGAGTTTATTGGCCTCGTTCAGTCTTGACACAACGTGACCATCACCGGGTCATGACGAATATCAGCGTTACACGTCTGCCAGGCAAGTGACACACAAGCTGTTTACAAACATACTGTTATGAGTGAAACACACACACACACACACACACCTACCCCTCCCCTCTCCGGTCGCCGCCCCCGCTGAGCAGGGCGCGTAAAAACGCGCCAGTCGTGCGGCTGGAGGCTCAGTCCAGGACGCGCGGGAGCTGTGCTCACACTGTTATTCTCTAATCCGACTGCTGGAATCATGATGTCTCTAAAGCTTAAACCTCATGGTAACTCTACTTTCCATCCTGTATTTTTGTTCCGTTAATTTGCACTTTGGTTTATGTAGGTCTCATAATAAATCTTTGTTAATTCAAACATAAATGAAATTTCCCTGCTTTTTTTTTCGATGTTTTCCTGCAGCGAAGTTCGTCCAGGAGGCGGATCTGAACGACGTGCTGTGCGAGTTCGACGCCGTGATCGAAGACTTCACGTCGCCGGTGGAGAAGCGACACTTCAGGTACGACGAGCACCTGAAGACCATGAAGAGGAGGAGCAGCGCCAGCGTCAGCGACAGCGGCATCAGCGACTCGGAGAGTGAGTTGGGATGAACTGTTAACTGTACATGCTGGTTTGGCTCATCAGGCACATGTGACAAGTGCTGATCTGTAACACGGAGCAAATTCATCGGACAGTTTATGACTTATCTCAGTCCAGGGAGGGTCCCAGGCAGTGTGGTCACCCGTTCATGCAACCCATGTAAGACTCCAGAGTGGAGATCAGGCATGGATTAGAGACCCGTGACGTTGGGCACATTGCTGTTTATCAGAAACTGGTGAACTTCTTAGAAGCACATTTACACATATAACGACAGAGAAAGAGAAATCATGGGCCACAGATTTAGATGCTATATGAGGCTCCAGCTGCATAATTTGGCCAACCTGCCTCCATATTGTGGCTTGTCTCTAAAGTTTTGTTGGTGCACAGCACTACACCACTCTGCCCTGGAGTCTGTTTCTCCATCTGCAGAGCTGGCCTCAGGCAGGCTCTCATAGGATAGCCTCATGTGCTGACACAATAAGAAAAATGTTTTAGGTTCCTGTGAGGAATGATAGATTCCCAAACATATGTGAGTGGGCTGGGACTTTAGAGGGAAGATGAGACAAGATATTTGTGGCCTTAAAACTTCTGGAGAGGCTGTCTGTGCAGGGAGGATGTCCAGTTAACTGCAGGCTACACTGTCCCCAGGCACAGGCACAATCCCAGAAAGCAAATCAGGCACCAATGCTTTTAAAATGCATGAAATGTTCCAAGCACATTTTTTTTTTGAGAAAGTAGCGTGGTGAAGGCATGATGACTAAGGATGCAATGGTTTTGCAGGGATATCACCAGTGGCCATAATGTTTACCAACCCAGGTAGAAGTCATGGAATTACCGTACTACTACTAGGGTCTGACAATAAGCAACACCAGTGATGAAAGTGTTCGAACCAGTGTCTGTGGTACCGATGAGCTCCAAGATTAGTTGAAGGGATCAGATTCCTGCGCGTGTTCCCTCTTCTCCATGGCAGTCGAATGGAGAGGGGCTTGTCTCATGAGGGGACGGCCTGTTGTCTTGTAGCCTGACAGATGGGGAGTCTGCTCAAGGTGCAGAGAAATGACGAACACTGTGCAGAGTCTTACATATCAGCCCTAGAGTGTGAGGGAGAGAGAGGCAGGACAGGGGGACAGCTGGTGACAGAAGAGGAGCTCAGATGGAAACTGAGAAATCAGAGGGTTTCCTGTTCAATTCAAACATCTGTGTGTGTGTGTGTGTGTGTGTGTGTGTGTGTGTGTGTGTGTGTGTGTGTGATCTCCTCTCTCCTCATGCTGTGTGTTCAGTGCTGTCCAGGTCAGAGAGGGGGGTGTAAAGACGGCTGGAGAGGAGTTAGATTGATGTGGGGGGCTTCAAGTGCTGCATAATCTTCTGTTTGTCACACACACTTTGTTCTTATTCACAGAGAAGCTGATACTTCTATGAAGCCAACTAGGAATGTGAATGACTTTTAATGAATCCAGACAGACAAGCACGAGGATCTAGCTGGAAGAAAGCCTTTACTTTCCATTTCTTAGCAGACAAACAGTAAAAATATGCTATATAATGTGGTGGCTTTAAATACAACTGTTTAGAAATGTGGGTGGTATAGAGGAGACAGAAACAGGAGCCCACACAAGAGGCGCTCTGTCAGCCCCTGAACATCTCAGAGATCGATCCCCTGCCTTTAGAGACTTCTCTGCCCAAGCACAACCTCTTATAACGCTGAGATTTAGTTACATGTGGTATTATCTGAACCTTCTGCTGCTAGAAATGCAGAGGACGTGTCATGTAGAGTGGTGATACCTACTAGCTTTTGTTATATTTGAGCATACACATTTGTGTGAGATGGACCAAAGAGGAGGGGTGATTAGAGGAGAAAGCAGTGATTACACACCGAAGCTGCTCAACTGATCTGGATCAGAAATAGATGCTTTGTGTCCTTACGCTCGTTGTGCAGGGTGCACTGACAGGTGAACACTCACCTAATCTGTTTGCACTGTCCTGTCTCTCTTTCCGACAGGTGCAGAGCCACTCAACAGAAACAGCTTCAGCTTCAGCGATGAGAGGCTGAACTCCCCCACCGCCACCTCACCTCCTCTCATGTCACCAAAACGTAAGTGCTACTCGTGCAACACGCACATTGGTGACTTTGAGTGATGTGCATGAGACGGGGCTCAGTGTCTACATCATCCAGTGGAAGACATGTAGAACCACAGCCTCCTCTGTGATGGCGTGTTGTATGATTAAAGATGCTTATAACAGGACTCGTGACCATCTTCACCGTGAATCTCTGTCTCTGTCACCTTCACAGCCAAACTGGGCGACACTAAAGAACTGGAGGACTTCATTGCGGACCTCGACAGGACATTAGAGAGTGAGTGCTAATCTAACCTATAGCTGTCAGGCTGATGAACGAGTCTGAGTGCTGGCGCCGCCCGCTGTTCAAGGTTAACAGGAGCGCTTGTTTCCTATGTCAGCTATGCTAACAACCACTCGTAAGATGACACAGGAGCAAAACAATGATGTGTTGGGACTATAGAGGCAGGATGCAGGAGGCCTCTGGGGTTACACTGGGGAGAAAGGCAGTGTATCCCCTTTCACCCCATCACTCAGCCTTGAAGAAAGTACTGCTCCATCACCATGCAATTTGCACACACCACACAGCACTACAGCATGAACTCTGCGTTTTCTGTTTCACTCCGTCCTTTTCTTCCCTTCTCCATTGTTCATGTACATACAGTACAACACAACTGCAGAGCTTTGTGTATATACATGCATGAAACTGTAACCTGAGGAGGCAACAGGGCGTCGTTCAGCAGCTTCCAGAACGTCACAGGCATACATGGCTAATTTGTGCTGGACCTCGTCTATCCTATGGGGCCTGTGAGTGTTGGAACTTGCAAGAGTGTGAAGAATGTGTGCTGATGCAAACCTGGGCTGAAATTCCAACTGTAAGCATCAGGAATGGAATGAGACAGAAGTGGGAGTCGAAATGCTTTTCATTATTTCTATGCTTTTCCTTCTGTCACTTTGATCTCTTCTGTGTTTTGGCCACTGAACATCCGTCTTTCACGGCTCACAGTTAGAATGACCCCCGGAGAATGGCGTGTTTAACAGGGCCACCAGTATTTACGATGACCAGCGTGTAAAAACGAATGTCTGAGACCAGAGCCAGTGACCGAGGAATCGGGGAGTCCTGTTCTAATCAGGTCTGTCTCTCTGTCTGTTCTTAGGCATGTGACACAGAGGATCCCAATCATCTTGGAGTGTAGCCATGAGGGAGTGGATGTCTGGACCTGCCCTTCCCCACAGAAACCCACCCACCAGAATACAGCTGGATGGCACAGCACCTGCCCAATGGTTCCCCTATGGCGTCGGGTACCGCCAGCGCCCTCCTAACTTAGGCCAGGCAACCTGGCTCTTGGGAGGACAATACCGCAAGAAATTAGCATTGTAGGAAGCATGAAGACGACGATATTCAGCAGCCATGAAGTAACGGACTAAATCAAAAGTCATGAGAATGAAGCCGTGACGTACACATGACAAGGGTCACGCAGAGCAGGTCACACTCCCTCATCCAAAACCTGAGCTGGACGAGTATTTAAAAATGGCTTCTTATAACAGAAACATATTTGTAACTTTATCAAGCTTTTGTGAAATATATTTTTGTATCTTATGTAAATAATACAAATTCTATTTTCCTTGGTATTAATGCAACAGTCAGATTAAGATTTGACACTTGTTAGTTGGTTACATGCTTAAATGTGAAAACTTAATCCAATAAGGGAAAAAAACTGGAAAAAATGTGTATTTAATTAATCTAATGCCTGCCAGAGAGAATATTAAAGTATGAAATACTGTTCTTTTAATAACTCGCCTCTTCTCTTGATTTTTTGACTTGAAGCTTCTCTCGGTGTGAGAGAACATTTGCTTACTGTATGTACTTACAATCTGCTGTTTACACTTAAGAATAAGCTGCTAAATGCAGTGAACTTTTATCCTTTCCTTTTGTGCTATGCAGCAAAAGTCCTCATGTCTTTCATAAAGTCAAATCACACCTTGATTTCTTGTGTGGCTGTGGAGCTGGTGACTGGTGACTGGCTGAACTGGAGCGAATACACATGACAGCTGCCTCCTCATCACCTCAGCACTTGCCCTGTCCCTGTCTTTCACTGACCTGCTGATCTCCCTCCCAGTTTTCAGCTTCCTGTCCAGGACTGAGGTCAACAAAGTGATGTGAACACAGACAGGCAAACCAAGTGAGACCTGCATTAAACTGTCAGATCTACATTTTAGGTTTCATATAATTAATTTCTTGAAATATGAAGTTATGTATTATAGTCAGATTCACCAAACAGAGTTCATGTAATAGTGGAGGAAGAGATGGGATGTTCACTAACAACACACTAAGAGAGACTCACACAGATGCACCACAACAGGCATCACACGTCTCTTACATTCCAGAAAGTAGGGACTCGTATAATTTATGACTTATGTAACTTGTGTAGCAGCAGGGTCTATTTCCAGAGGTGGAGGGAGCCGGGAGGCTGTGACCCCTTCCTGGGCTGCAGCAGATGTGGCTCGGCTAATCTCATGGCAGAGGCACCCCTCTGTCTGCTGACCACCAAAGGTCGAAGGTCACTAACTATGAGCAGATACATTTCCATACTGGTTCCACAGCGGCAGTGCAGCAGGTGCAAACAGACTAGGAACCACAGTCAGATGGGTTTGATCCTGTGCTTACAGTAAATGGACAATTTAGTGTTTCATAAGCTTTGGTTATTTGCAAACAATATACTGAATAAACAATGGTGAAAATGTGCACAGAGGCCAAGATATCCTGAAAATGCTGGATCCTACACTTTCTCTAACACAGTTACGGCACTATTTATGTTTACATGCTTTTATTTTTTTAGGCCACCCCGATTATATCTCCATGATATGAGCAAGGTTACTTTCTCAGCTGTGAGAAAGCTTCCCAATCACATTTCACAGCAGTCTTCACAGGCTAAGTGCCACTTGTCATGGCTACTAAACTGACTTTCATGTGTAAAATTAGTGGAGCACCCCTTTAATCTCTGTTGCCACTCTTGGCACACACACCAACCCTTCTTTCCTCCCACCAGCTGCTGACGGCACGCAGCCTTTGATTTTATTATACATGAAGTCTCATGTTTTCTTCAGATGACACTTCATGCTGCTAGCTGAGAACCCCTCACAGCTGTGTGTGGCTGCTGTTCACAGCCAGTGGATCCGGCCAGTCGATTATCACTGCACGCCAGTCTGTGAATCTTATGGTAGGAAGCTGGCGGAGAGACCTGTCTCTATACTGTTGGCAGAGGGAAGCTGTTGTGCACCATGCATCAGGTGTTTGGAGGGGTCCTGTCCCAGGCTGGGCCGCTGGCACTGATCTGACAGATCATGTTGACACAGCCCTTTCCTCTAGAACAGCCTTGGCCCTGACAGCGGCGGGCATCCTTTGGCAGCGTGGGTCACTGCTGTAGAAGTGGCACTGGCAGAGGACAGGCTGTGTACACACAGGGCAGGAAGTGTGGGAAAGTAGGAGAGCCAGGCAAAGGCAGCAGAGTAAAGGGGATGGTAGGGAACGCAGTAGCTGGGACCTTCAGAGGCAGACAGTGAAGGTGAATGAAGGAAGGAGTAGACTGGAAGACAATCTCTGAAGCTTACAACCATATGCCAGGTTTTACATCCGGATGGATTCCTAAGGGAGGCCCCTCAGGACCGCTAAGTGGTCGCTCTATGAATAGGCTGGGCAGAGAAACACAGATGTGTCCACATCACAAATCACAAATATCGGGTTCAGCTTTCCACTGGGTCCTCACAACACTGGCGTCCGGATGTCCCTGCTGGAAGTGTGCATGATGGTGGGGGGGAAGGGGGAAATTGGCTACGTTAGCAAATTTTGGTGTGTTTTCATCTGCGTGTATGACATAATGATGTTTTATGTGTGCTGGATTTACTCAAGAACTGTACTACACAGAAGTACAAGTAGAGGTACTTGCACTTTCCTTGAGTACTTCTACTCCACTACATTTCAGAGGGAAATCTTGTGCTTTTCATTCCATATACTGTATTTATTTGACACTTATTATTAGACCACAAGTTTCCATCAAAGAAAGATTAGATGGTTCCATGAAAATACTCGTTGGAGCCACGACAGAATAAAATGATCTCTGAGCTTCATGATTGATCTTATGACCCTGTGGAATGTCCTGACCTCCAGGTTGGCACCAAGTGGGCTAAACTAAAGTTAATAAAGTTGTTAAACCGAGTTCAACCTCGAGCAGCAGTAAAATGCTTGAATTTTTGAAGTGAAGGGTCTGAATTCTGCTTCCATCACTGTAGCGTTTGGTACATACAGTCCTCACTAAAAGTCTGTCAAGTGTTTTTGCTTCATATGCACAGATTGACCAGTAAGACAGTGTCCACACTCACTCAGGTCAAGACTCTTCTTGACGTCCTGCAGCTCTTAAACTGCACATCCATTATAATCTCCATCGTCACTGCCAGTCGGACTGCTCTTTGACCTGACTGACAGTGAACTGACCTTGGACTGGAGCAGCTCTGTTACCTTTACCCATGGCCATAATAGGCAGCACTGAAGGAGAAAGTATGAGATGGGTGACGTTTGTTAAGCCCCTGTGTTCGTGGTAATGTCACACAACTTTCAGCAGTTTCTTTGAATTGGATCAGTGTGAAGACATTCAGCTTCACCTCCACCGCCTGAATTAGGTCACACTGTGAGAAGGAGGTGGATGCTTCTCACACACACACACACACACACACGCCTACCTCACGACACCTGCTCCAGCTCCAATGTTGATGTGTGCACTGACAAACTGCACCAAACACATGATACAGGGTGTTGTGACAGCAGAACGTGTCTGACATGTAAGAGCTGTAATCATCCTGAGGTATGAAGTCCTGTGCCCTCACCTCTCTGCCACCTGCATCAGTGGTACATGGATAAATCTACTTCTAGTCTGGGAGGGGCCAGTTCAGCCATGTTCTTCGTTTGATCCCCAGCTCCACTTGTTGGACCCTGCACTGATCACAATGTGTATACATTAGGAATCATGTAAGCAAAATGAAAATGCATGTAATCTACAAATAAATCCATCTGACAGTAATGTAAATTCTATTAAATTATTACTGTAGGTTTTCCATGTGGCTGTAGCAGAGCATGACCACTGGGATTAACATTCAGCTGTCTCCTTTGGCCACTCTCAGCTCGACTTCCTGAGCTTGGCTGAATCACAGTGGTCGGGTTTACACAAGGAGAGACTGGGATACTGATGTGGTCTCAGTTTGGAGCAGCTGACAGGAGAAGAAACAGGAGAAAGACAGCTACAGATCACATAATATATTTACCAGACTAATGTTTGATCAGTGATAACAATGTAAAGACCAAGCCTACTACTGTGTTTTGCACAAGGAGTGGCCTGAGCATGGAGACCCGCTGTTAGCTTTGGTGGATCAAAACTGGATCATTCCTATGAATCATGGCGGATGACAACGTGGCCGAGCGACCGCACCACAGACAGGCTGTGAGTCAGAGTGATTGGCCATTAGTGTGAAGTGAGTGTGAGTCTGTATTTCCAGCATGATGAGTCAGAGGAGCCCTGCATTCAGTTTGTCAGTTCATTTAGCCAACTCTCTGGTCTTGGACAAATGTGAGACATAAAGTTAAAACTTTAAAAAGGAAAACAACACAGACACAGATCAATCTTCTGAAAATGGTGCGTGTGTGTGCATGTGTGATCCCAGATGGCCCTGTGCTGTCACAGCCCTCCTTCCTATCATCAGTTTGGCCCGTCTGGCTCCCATCTGTTCTCTCTACTGCCTTCCTTTATCCTTCTGTCTTTCTGCATCTTACTAGCTACATGTAACCATTTCCATCATATACTTAACCCCATTCCTCCCACTTTGTCTCTTGAAGCTTGAATCCATTTTTCTTTTATTTTAAAATTAGACTTAATAAGCATTAAAACCTGTTTTTTACTAGCCCTAAGAAATCTTCACTACGTGACAATACCTCATTTCACTAGGCTGCAGAATATTCAGTTTTTTCTGGTAGCTGATTTTTCCTCACACTGCTACAGATTTAATACTGTCCAGGAACATCCAGTATCATACGTCGCCTCTGGAGTTGCCTGAATTCTGCAGATCATCATGTTCCACGCAGAATTTCCTGTCAAAGTGCAGTGACTTGTGTTCATGACAGAAGTGACATCTACAAGGAAAACAAACAGAAGCATTGCTCAGGCTGTGTCAGCTGGCAGAGGAGGAAACTCTGCTCATTCCTGACTGCTGAGGTAATTAATCAAGCCTCAGACACACAACAACCAAATGTGATTAGTCTAATCGGACCTGGTAGCGTTTGCTGTCTTAAGAATTACAAATCACCTGCATTTATTCTATGAAGGAGTGAACAGGGAAACCATACTAGTGCTCCTCCAGTGTTTGTAATTTCCCAGCCCATTAGGCAGCAAAAGAATATTAGTGTCTATTATTAGCTGAGAGGAAATCACCAGTCACAGTCATGCTGAGTAATGACATTTTGGGAGGGAAGCAGGGAGGGGGCAGGGAAGGAGAGGAAAACATCTTGCCTTGTTCTTCCAAACCAGGCCTGACTGCTGGCCTGTAGTGAACTTCCTTTCCTCAGTGGAGCAAAGGCCAGGACAGACACACAATCCTCTGCTGTTACTGTGTTGTCTTCATGATGTGTGTCTGGGTGTGAGGTAAACTGTGTGTTGTTATTTTGCATTACTGATGAGGATCGAAGCCTGATTTGACTCCAGAAGCCCCTCCCTGCCTGTCACCAGTTCACTGCACCATTCATCATCATTAT